TTACTTATAATTATAGATATTAATATGTGTACCTTCATGTTTTTATAAGAACTTAGAATCCGTATCACTCTCAAACTTTTTTTTAAAGGAAAAAAATGAGATTTCGTGTTTTTATAATTTAAGTTAAAGATCTATAGTTCATGAAAAATAAGTTTTTTTTTTTTTGTTCAAAATTTGGTTTGAATTGAACACACTGCATATCATTTTTGTTGATTAAAGCTTATCAAATGATCAATTTTTTAATAAAAATTAAATAAAGTTGAAAATATGTGATTACATAACAAAAATAATAAAGTAAGGAATTATGTGATTCAAATATATAATAGATTATCATTCAAAATTATAACAATCCAACTAAATTCGAGGTTTTTTAAATCATTAAATTGTTATTACAATTAAAAGGCCGAAAGAGTAAATTATTATAAATATTTTCAAATTTTAACTAGAAATGTAAAATATAATGATTGTTAGTATACTTTTCAATAAATAAATAATATTATTTACTCTAAATTAAAATAGCATTGACAATAAGTTGTAATTATTTATATATATATATATACATATTTTTTTACATTTTGATTCATTTTTTTATAGTATTTATATATATTGATATAAAAAAAAAAAGAAAATGCGAGGGGCCCACGGGCCCCCTGGACCTAATATAGGTCCGTCCTTGGAAAATACAACGGTTTCATAACGGTACCATTTCGTCGGGTGTTTTAACTATTAGATTATTTATCTTATTTAACTACATGAGGATCTTAAAACACCAGACGAGTAACGGTCTATAATTCAAACTATTGACCTTTTCAACTGTGAAAGTCGTTTGGCCATAGGTGGTAACATGTTTAGCTCCAATAGATATAAGAATCATTCAATGCCGCCTAATTCAGTTGACTCATAAGTTGACTTGCTGCTGCAAATTGTCAAGGTCAACATACAAGTTGCCATCATCAACAAAAGTATATAGTATACTCTAAAAAATATAATACTTTTATTTATATATTAATTTTCAAAAATCACGTCATTTGGCAACAAAATACTGGAAAATATAATACTTCATTGGTATTAATTTTTAAATTTTAAGGTAAGTAAATTTGCTAAAAAATATCCCATTTCGACATGGAAACACAATTTTTTTTATAAAATACGCAAATACGTCACACAATTTTAAAACAAGCGTAAATAAACATACATAATCATAAAATCAAAAGCTAATGCATGTAAAAAGACCCTATCGAGGAGGTCATAAACATACGCTGCCCAACCAAAAACATCACGAAAAGAAAAAAAAAGAAAACTAAAATAATATATAAATAAATTTATTAGCATATGATATTCCCAATCGCCCGCGTGGCAATCACGACATCAACTGAGCAATTCATAGCCGTCGATCTTTTCTTCCTCATCACGAATATCAAATCCACTCTCCCCTTCATCTTCGCCTGAAAATCGAGCGTCACAATCCCCGTACTGAGATCCCTCGCCAGCTCATCGCTCGCCGGTAAGTCCAAATCCACGTTGAACCCAACCCTCCTAGTCGACCTCCACCCCACGCTCGACCCACGCACGGCGGCCCGGCCAGCCGTCGCGCCGGAGTAGAAAAACTCGACGGTGGTGTTGTGGAATTTGTACTGGCCGAAGTTCGGGTTCCGGAGGGAGATCTCGGCGGTTATGGATGACCTAAGCAAAGGATTCGCCGGAGTTCCGGCGGCGAGGTTGGAGAGCGCGGCGGATCTGAGGCGGAGCTTCGGGGTCCGGACTTTCATAACGATGAGGGAAAAGATGAGGATGACGCCGGTTTGGAAGATTGCGAAGAGGGCGAAGAAGAGGATGCATTTGTTGCGTTTTTTCCGGCGGAGGTCGGCGGCGGCGGGGGACTCGGCGTCGGGCCGGGTGTAGTAACGGCCGTTGCCGGAGGGTGTGATTGTTTGGTCCTTGTCAGACAACATGGTTTGTTAAAAGGATTTTTTTTTTTTTTTTTTTTTTT